CAACATGTAAGAAGTTGACGACCATCAGTTGTCCTACTTCTCTAAGTATCAACATGTAAGAAGTTGACGACCATCAGTTGTCCTACTTCTCTAAGTATCAACATGTAAGAAGTTGACGACCATCAGTTGTCCTGCAATACTTAGCAAAACCCACCAATGTCTTTATATTTCCCACCTGATGGTTATTGGCTTCGTTTGGGTCTTGATGAAACACAATAAATGGATTATGATTTAACATCACTGATCTTCGATCTTTCAGGTACAAATCTGTCCAAGGTTCTGGATGAAATACATAAGTTCTTAGCATTGTGTTTGTCTCTTGACTTTAGAAAAATTTGTTTGTTGTTTTTTTACAATTAAGATTTAGACAATCACCTGAAATATAACTAGTATGTTTGTTTTGTTTATCTTTTGATATTAGCTCCTTCTGTAGTTCTGAAAACAAAATATAATTATACTTTTATAGGATGGGCTGTGGTGGTAATGATGCTAATAGTAATGGTGATAGTGACCAGTATCACTGGTCCAGTGATGGTGGTAATGGTGACCAGTGAAGGTAATGGTGACCAGTGAAGGTAGTGATGATGACCAGTGATGGTGACCAGTGAAAGTGGTGATGGTGACCAGTGATGGTGATGATGGTGACCAGTGAAGGTGGTGATGGTGACCAGTGAAGGTGACCAGTGTTGGTGGTGATGGGAACTAGTGATGGTGACTAGTGATGGTGATAATGACCATTAATAGTGATGATGGTGACCAGTGATGGTGGTGATGATGACCAATAATAATGGTGGTAATGGTGACCAGTGAAGGTAGTGATGGTGACCAGTGAAGGTGGTGATGGTGACCAGTGATCGATGGTGATGGTGATGATGGTGACCAGTGAAGGTGGTGATGGTGACCAGTGAAGGTGACCAGTGTTGGTGGTGATGGGGGGAACTAGTGATGGTGGTGATAATGACCATTAATAGTGATGATGGTGACCAGTGATAGTGGGTGTGGTGATGTTGTTGATAGTATTGGTAATGATTATATATGATGAAATGGTGATTATGATGGTACCTGGTCCTTCATATTGTTTGAAGTTCTCCACCAGTCTTTTGGTATTTTCATACTCCTCAGGACTTAATATAACTTTCTGGGCATCAAGATAGCGACGGCATGTATCTTCAAGTTTAGGTATGGGTAGTCGTGGTAAGCTTGGTTGAAAGTGATATGTGGGCACTATACTGCGCTGGATGTATTTCTCATTTGAACAGTTGGAGCTGCAAGATAAATATTGTCCATTAGTTGATGGGTGTTGTTCACCATAAAAAGTTTGTATTGTGCAACCTAGGTACACACAATTTTGTACTTTTATAGTTTTATTGTATTTTGTAAATTTACTATTTCTGTATTTTATTTACAGAGCTCAGTAGCTTACCTTAAACAACGGGAGAATGGAGCATACGCCCAGTTTGTCTGAAACTGAAATACAAATATTATAAATATGTAAAAATATTTTTTATGTTTGGTTTGTTGACATTCCGTCATTGGTTAATGCATAAAAAAGTCAATTATATTACCGTACAATACAAAAACTAACAAATACAGCACACAAACAAAAATTTGACATTTTAAAGAACACAATACAATGTAAATAATGCAGAAAATAAATAAAATATCTCACCAAGAAAGGCTTTAAAACTCGTCCACGAGTGCAAGTCAGAAAAGTCGCCATATTTGTAAACTTTGACCCCGGAAAAGATCAATACTTCATGTAAGAATTTTGTATGGATAGAACAGTTCACTGGAACAGGGTACCGTTGCTTGCATCGAAGGGTGGACACTCGCAGGCAACTGTTTGCAGTTCGTAATTTTCGATTCCGCCAGGTTTTGGGGGTCCCTGACTGTCTCAAGTGTATGTAAATATTCATGTGAATTATTAATATTACGTTGTGTAATCTATGTTTGGCATTTTCCGTCGTTCAATGCTCTGGCTCACTGCTGTCTAAGCAAAAAACTGGTCGTCTTTTAAAATGTTTACTCAGAATGTTTAAGGTTTTCATTGCGCAAATGTTCACATATCTGGCAAACATTTTGTAAAATAAGACAAGTTTGGGCTTTGTCTTCAAGCAAGGAAAACATTTTAACTTTTTATATCAGTTTTTAGTCACCTCATTGACACATAAATATCCTACATCTCAAAACACAATCAGGTTCCATATTAATGGTTTGTAACACACCAAATGCATGCAAATTAGGAAAGGAAAATAATGCATCTCACTGGAACGCGATTTCGCCAAGAAAAAATAAGTTTGACGCAATAAAGTTTGAAAAGCAAAGACTATGCATTACATTTAGAAGGAAAGAGTGAAAATGTAGAGACTTGGTAAAATGCGTGCTTTTTACAGTACAAACAAATGCAAATTATTATATGCAAATTATTATCTCAGTCGGCAAAACTGGATTGGCTAAAGATAATAACTGAAGAAACCAAAATTGACTTCCTGAATAATTGAATTCAAACCGAATATCATGATAGCATGCATCAAAGAAACCACACATGCAGCATGCAAATTCGTTCCAATTATATTTGTTTGGTTGTTGTTGTTGTTCAGTTGTTGTTGCTTATTATATTGTTTTGTAGAAGAGGCAATAAAGCGGTCGGTTTTCCACTAGCGAATGTTTTCGCACGAAGCGACTTTTTCCTTTGTCGGTATCACTTATTACGTCAGCAAGACGTGGCAAAATCAGTCCTCGAAAACGAGGTCGGCATTCCATGGTCGGCAATTTTTGCCGACCTTAATTCAACCAAAGTAAGAATATTTTTGGTGCTGATAGCTGTTAAAAAGTCAGCGATTATAGAATTCGATTCGTAGTTCGATTAACTGAACACACTACGGTCAGTAGGATGTTAGGTTTAAAAATTGACGGGTATTGTGCATAAAGGTTATTTGTTCGATCAAAGGATCAAATTTTGCGCGTCCGGAGTTAAAATTCGGCTTCAACTTTCGAATTTTCCGGCTGGAGGTAACGTTCCAGTTCTATTCCGATTCGTAAATGCGTGATTAATAGTGCTCCAAGACGTGGAACAGATTTTAAGAAATGCCGAGACGTGCCGACCTAGGTCAGATTTAGGTCGGCCCTTTTTTGCCGACCTCAATTTTGACTGTTTTCGAGGGCTGCAAAATGGATGCCGACAAAGGAAAAAGGTCGCTTCGCGCGAAAAAATTCGCTAGTGGAAAACCGGCTTAATAGAGGGTAATAAAGCGCATTTAAACATGCACATTTACTATAGGCTAATGATTCGGCAAAATTACCAAACAACAGTCGGCAAAAAATCACTCACACCCCCTCACTCGAAGAGGGTTAGCGCCGCCCCTGCGCACAGTGGATTAAAATTTCCTCATTGTACAGCATTTCGTAACCAAACTTTACAATTTTACTAATTTTAACATGCTCTTTCTAGCTGTGGTGATCGGGACTTTGTTCTTCTTGCCTAGCTCAAAATTTAGTCTATACTGAGCTGGAATGATCCATTTATAGGCATTACATCCAGTGAACCGGCTTCAGTTTAGTCCAGCTGGCGAGTTCCTTTTCAAATTAACTAGTCATGCCGTCGTAAACATGAACAAAAACCCTTTACAAATGCCATAAAATGGTTTTTGTTCATGTTTACGTTAATAAATCCAGATGATGTTTAATCCAACCTTCCGTTTCAGCAACATTTGAAACAAACCATTCGTACGCACTAATTGTGAGCATGCGCAAAACGGTTTTCATGTTATTACAAGTAAGAGAAGTCTGCAGTTTTCTGAATTATCATTTGCTTTTGTTGAGGAACAAGGAAACGTCTGAACTGAGTAAAGAAGAAAAAATGGCAAACTGTTGTGTTTTATGTGCTCTATTCCTGACCGTTGCTCAGGCTATTTGCCATAAAAAATGGTAAAAGCCTGGGAAGTCCGCGGAACTGGAGTTTGTAATTTATAGATCCGTTCTTACGCAAAATACAAAATGGCTTACTAGTGTTGAAACAGTCAATTTATCGTCGTTATTATTTGAAAGTATCTATAATCTTGGGTCTGCATGCGAATCACACATCAATACAGCACTTTACATGTACAGTATCAAAATTGAAAATGCTTGGTCTTATTAAACATTTTTATGAATACGGCAAGCACACTGCAGATCACTGCAACTACTAAATTCAACGAAATGGAGTCTAAGTTTAGTTATTCGGGATAGCTTTATTTATTAGTGTAGACTGCATGTTCTCACAGAGGACGAAACTTAAACTGGACTCAATTTATTTATACTAGAGGATGACTAGTTTGTTTAGTTTAGATCTTGTATTTGTCCTTACTTCTTAACACTGATGTTAGATAGATAGATTGAAAAGTTTTTCACACAGTTTCTGACGCCTGTCTTTGAGAGAATTAATATTATGCGTGCCGGTTAAGATTGTTCGTATAAGATGACCCAGGAGATATAATTAATATAGCACCAACAATCTTGGGTCGAAAGTTTCGCCAAAGCCGAGACCAAGAAATGAACGTGTCCAGTACAAAACAAAACAATTATATTTATTTTTACCATGCAAATCTACAAGGACAAGGTCAAGGATCTTATTAATGTGCTTTATGACAATACCAATGGTGTCGAGATAACGAAATATCTTTAAAAAGTCCAATACATTGAAACAAAACCCCACAAAATGCTTGAAAACGTGACTATCTTTCTATCTATATTACAGCAAATAAAAATATTTCGAAACTCATTAAATCTCTATTTAGCTTTCGCGTAATTGCCTCAATACAATGTCTTGTCTTCTGTGATATTTGCCCATGGCCATATGTATGGCCATGAAAACAGGCGAGCTACTGCAATGACAACGAAATTCAAGTCAGCGTTCTGGGCAGAAAGAGCATGTAAAACTGTAAAATAAGTTCACTGGACAACTAGCTTATAATTTTTTGTTCTCGATATATGTAAATTAAATAAATCTATGACATTATGCAAGGGAGTAAAATACTAGTTTCAAACGTAGTATAGTCTCGTCAAAGGTTCAAATGATGAAATATTTCAAACCATATACAGCTAATTCAAAAAAGGTTTTCCTTTGAAAAACCTTAATCTGTTTAGAAAGCGGTAGGGGCAGGGACGCCGGAACGATAATAGGGCAAAGGGGGGCGGACGCACACCAAGGGCACCTTTACTGAAAAATCTGAAGACCTCCCCCCGTCGCCAAAAAAAAATTTCGGTCAGTGTACCATTTTAGGGATCAAAAATTTTTTCCGGACATACAAAAATTTTCCGTGAAGCCAAAAATTTTTCCGGATATCTTAAATTTTCGCAATTTCTTCAAAATATTTTTCTAAATTCCAAAAATTTCCCAAAATTTTTATAAATATAAACTATAAATTACCTGAATGTGATTTATCACGTATTATTTTACAACTAAAAGGGCACTTCTGCCCCCCCTGCCCCCCCTAGCAAAAGGCAAGGGGGGCAGCCGCCCCCCCTGTTCCCCCAGTTCCGGCGTCCCTGGGTAGGGGCCCATTCCTTAGAGACATGGTAAATATCTCCTTACGAGAACAATGTACTCACAAGTAGCTGCAATATTCAACTACTAAGCTTGAAACTTATGCTCCCATTAAGCTTTACGCGCTTAGAGTTTAAAGTTTAAGGTTTAGAGTTTAATTAAGGTTTTCAAAGGACAGCTTTTTTGAATTGCCTGCATATTGTTGATTTTTTTAACCAACATTATGTAGAAAGTTATGCAGCAAGCAATGCCAAGCATGAGCTCTCGGTTTATAAAGTTAGTTTAGTTAAAGTTTCCTTCTGTAGCTGATAACACAGTCGACCAGGAGAAGAGTTTAGAACTGACAATATACAGGCTAAAGTTTCCTATAGCTTCTGTACTTACGTTGTAAAAGGCTTAAGTATTTTTTTTACAATAAACGGCTGAAGTATTTTGGTTTTAATTTTCTTTGTTCATAGAAAGGGCAGCAAAACCTTTCAATTCCTACCGACAGAATGTCTGTGCCCGCTAGCAAGCAATAATAATTAGTTATAGCTACGTGCAGTATTGAAATTCTTCAGAGAGATATTGTGTTCCATTTAATTGGGTCTGGAACTTGCGAGGCGCCCAACAAGATCCCAGAATAGGTATCATGCAGTCAGTAAATCCTCTTATCGACTTACTGTATAAGAAAAATGACGGTTACGGTTTTCACGAAGAAAATACGGGCGATTAACGGTGAAAGAGACAAAAATAAGACGGTTTGCGGAGCGACCAACCCCCTATAATAGACCCCCTCCGTAGTTCCGTCTCAGCAACATTTGCAACATTTTTCGTGCGCACTAATTGTGAGCATGCGCAAAACGGTTTTCATGTTATTACAAGTAAGTGAAGTCTCTTTCCTGAATTATCATTTGCTTTTGGTGGGGAACAAGGAAACATCTGAACTGAGTAAAGAAGAAAAAATGGCAAACTGTTTTGTTTTATGTGCTCTTTTCCTGACCGTTGCTGTTCTCGTGTGTTCTGCACAAGAGGAACAAGATATCAGTGTGCGGTAAGGCAACTAGAAATGGTTAACCAGGGCGTTCTGTTTCACAGCGCGCAGAAGTAACTAAGTATAAAGTTAGTCTCATGATTGCAGCTAGCTTAGTCGGAAAATAGCAACCAAAATCCTAGTGAAGCGCAATTTTAATCACATTATCGATATCATGATCGCAACTCTTTGGTAGTCAGTTCAACAAAACGTTTTCTGTCCGCGTCAGCATGAAACATTTTAAGTGGCATGCATTTTATCTTCCGTTAAAACGTAAGCTGCTGCCAAAATATCGTTATTTTTAACGAAGTAATTCTAGTCCATCGATGTACATCTACTAGGTTTTGTGTATCAAGTCGACCGTCCGCCCCCAACACTCGGCACTTACATTAAAAGGTGAATTCCCTCCCATTCCTTTGTTCATGCAATCAATAATTTCTATTTGCAGGAATCTAAAGCAAAAGCGAAAGGTGCAAGACACTTGTCAAGGCCTTCCTGGATTACCAGGACGAGATGGTAAGATTACTAACATTGCTGTATGGTGCGTTAACGCCAACAGAGAAGTCTGAATTTGGAATAGCCAACAAAACGTTTGGTGTGAACGCAACTGGACGAATTGAGATTCAATTTACGGAAACAATAAAGATTTGAGTTCGCCTTTCGAAATCGGCTGGAAAATTGTTTCATCTTCAGATTAATAAAACAAAACTGAATGGAACCAAGTTCTAAAATTATACGACATTTGCTTTGTCTTAAAGCACAACATTTATACTTTAATTCTTTAATTAAACTGTGTTTCTTATTTCATAGGGCGTGACGGGCGTGATGCAGGATTAATGGGTAAGACAATAACTGCTTTTTGTATAAACAATTACTAGCGGGCAACTAGGTATTCGATCTAAATTAATTATAGCTCTAAAGCCTTTACTTGTTTTCATACGTATCAGAGGATCGGACCTGCTATAGAGATAAATAGTTATGCCCTGGAACTCCTCACTGTCAGTCAAATATCTCTTTTGACGGAGAAAACTAACAGAATTCAATTAAAACAAGCTTTGTTGCTGCAGTTCTTACAAGAGGACCATGGCAACCAAAGTGTGAGAGGAAATAGCCTGGGTCCGAGGTTGGACCAAATGTTTTAATGTTCTCTATATGTTCGTTTCCACAGGTAGCTCTGGCAAACGAGGTCCGAGAGGACCTCGTGGACAAGCAGGGAAGTCAGGGGGTGTCACAGGTGGTGCAGTGTACACCAGGTGGGGAAGAAAGACATGTTCCAACAAAACAACCCAATTGTATTCAGGTAAATAAATCTCGACTGAAATATAGAAAATTCTAGGACTATAATAAAGTAGATGTATTCTGTGCAATTTTATTTATTGTTCTATGTTTTATTACGTTTCTCACAGGTGTGGTGGCAGGGTCACATTTTACACATTCTGGACCTCAGATGGTGGTTCAAACTATCTCTGCCTGCCTTTAAAACCGATTTTTGAGAAAGTTGGGTCAGGTAATCAAGGAAGCAATTACATCTATGGCACTGAATACGAAATAGGTCATGCTCAAAAGCATTTGTTTGAAAACTCAAAGCTTCACGACCATGATGCACCGTGCGCTGTGTGCCACACTGAGTCACGTGGGAGTCACATGATGATCCCAGCCCGCAACACCTGCCCCTCAGGTTGGACCTTGGAGTACAAAGGATATATCATGTCCGAACATCATGGTCACAAAGGACGAACCCAGTACATATGCGTAGATGGAAAAGCCGAAGCAACTTTTGGATCACACGTCAACAAGAATGGAGCTTTGCTGTACTTTGTGGAAGGTGCTTGTGGCTCTTTGCCTTGCCCGCCATATGTGCAAGGTTAGGAACTCACCTGCGCCGTGTGCACAAAATGAAATGGTGATGACGAAAACGGAACTCTTTTATGATAACGGAACTTGAAACTCCCAGAGATCAGTATTTTTTTCAGACTGTCCTAACCAATAAAACAGAGTAAGCATGTTTAAACAAGCTTATTCTATTGTATTGGTTAGAATAGTCAGAAAAACATTCAGCTTTGGTAGCATACTGTACGCTAGTTTTGCAAGCAATAGTTTTGTAGTTGAGCTTTGGTCACTTTCATAGTTACTAAGCCATAGAGAAATAATAAAGAAACACGTTTCTGCATTAAATTACGTTGTGTGCTTATCTCAAGTTAAGGCCAGTTTACACTACTACTGTCACTACACAAGTTTTGCCTAAAACTGTCGCCGATGCAACCTGCTTACAACTAGGATTGTACTGTGCAGATCACTGAAGCACCACAACTCGCCTAAGTTGTCGTAGGTGAGTTGTGTGATTGATTTACACAGTA